AACAAATTTCACAACTTACTAGCCAAACGGCTGGCCGGTCATAAATTACGCTCCACCGATCAGGCCGCGGGTAGTAGGGAGACACAGATGAAGACATAACTAGTCTGCCAGAGCCTCGCCTTAAGGGGGTGACTGGTAGCCTCCTGATGTCTCCTATACACCACTTAATCCATCCTGGCAGGCATCTATTAGAAGCTGAACCCATGCCGAGGCACATTAGATCAAAGTCCTTCAGCTCTAGGAGAAGAGGATGGCCACCACACCGCGTTAGGAAAATGGAAATGAAGAAAACAGCCGTCGACTCGGGTTTTATCGGTAGGTGTTGCCCACGCTAAATAGTAAAGGATGTTTTTTAGGCCAGTGTTTCTCAGTGGGACTATACTTTTATGGAGTTGGTTTGTCTCTTAATACCGTGAGAATTCGAGCACTGTTTCCACTATTCGATCGACATAATCCCCCAGCAGAGACAGCCCTAGAAACGCCGCATGTGCTAATTCTTTTTATGGAAGATTTTGCATAAAGATCTTGGTTTGAAGCTCCATGAATGGGCCCAAAATGAAGCGCACTTTTCATTGCTTGGATATGTTGTTAATAAACAAAATTATAGCATTTGGTGTGATTAAAATATACAAGCCATTGCAGAGACACCGTTCCATCCTTAAAAATTCACTGTTTGCTGTGCTCTGTGGTGAGAGGGAAGCATTGCTCCATATTTCTTCAACAATTGAAGCCGGCCATAATATTGCAGTTAATGGAAATGGAACGCTATAGAGCTATGATTAGAAACTTTTTCGTGCCAGGAATTGCAAGATATTAATATGAACGAGCTTTGGTTCCAGCAAGTCAGCGCTTCAAGACATACAGCCAACGAAAAAGTCACTTTGTTGAAGGTAATTTTTGGTTAGCGCCATATCTCCTGCGTGGACCTGAGACGTGGCATCAAGATCGTGCGATTTTCCACAACTGGACTATCTTTTGTGGTGTTAAGTGGAAACGCTTGTCTACGCAGATAAGCCCGAAACGATTGACGTCTAGGAAGAGAATATTGGCGGCACAATTTATGCAAAAAGTGGTAAAAAATTGGGCCGCTCGCCTGGAAGTCAAACACGCCAGCCGCCGGAATCATTTTTGAAACATTTGTCATTTTGTTACTTACTTATTCTTTAAGAAAGCTAAATAATTGGTCAAATCATTATATTATAAGAGTTTAATTTCTTCCTGAAAATCAATTATCTAAAAGAAAAAAAAAACACTGTTTCATAGCTCACCTTACAAATCCTGGTATTATCACCTCAGCAGAAAGTAAAAAAAAAATCAATAGAAAGAAGTGGGAAATTTTGTTAACTCCAAACTCAATTGGATTTGCTTCATTACTAAAATCGTGAGTCATAAGAAAAGTAAAATAGAATAAAGCTTTATCCAAGCGCTTAAGACATTAATCCCTCGCACTGAGTGGCAGGTGTCATGCAGAGAGCGAGAATTGAAACACAAAGCTAATGCCATGAATTCACACATTCAATAACATAAATTTATCTAAAGAGAGAGAGAGAGAGGAGGGAGGGGAGAGAGATAGAGATAGAGAGAATAAAATTAATTTATTTTTGATTTTCTGTTTGCAAAATCAATTATATTTTTTAAACAGAAATTTGAGTGAGGTGAACTTAATTAGTGCATTATTTAACTCCATATCACATCTACTCCTACACTCTGCTTTCCCCGCCACCAGCTAGCTAATGGTTCAGAAAGAAATTCACACAGACCAGTTCAATTTGAATTTTATGATTTTTTATTGTCAGCGATTTTTGTTTTTTTTTTCTTTTTTTTTTTTTTGTTAAGTGAGAAAAATAAGAACTTAATTGTAGTTTAGGTGTACAAAGGTAAATTCATTAAATTCACATAAACATATACAAATGTACGTATGTCATAAATATTATAGTATAATACGTATGCAAAATACATAGTAAAATAATAGTTGGGAATTGTTGTTGTTTTTTTCTCTCTTTTTTGTTTTTGTTTCATTTTGTTGATTTTGCTGGTGGGTAATATACACTGTTAAATATTTAGTTATAAGAGGACATACAAAATTTAATTTCGTTTATTTTGTATTTAATTGAATTTATTTAATTATTTATGTATGTATAAAAATAGTGAAATCGCAACTAATAGTTTGTCACACACAGAAGCACATATTGTATATAGAGTGCTTGCGTGTATGTGCGTGTCTATGCATCTTTTCCGACTTGCAAAATTAAATAATTTAAACTTTTTTGTTAGTTTAATTTTTTTTCTATAAATATTTATGCAGTTGTTTTAATACACATATATATGTATTTCTTTTATGCCAAGTATACAGTTGTGTTTGTAAGTACATACATACATATTTTAGGTTAAACACAAATATGTTTGCGGTCTAGCCGCTGGGTGGCCACTTGGCTATGATTATACAAACATTTATGACTTTTTCTAAATTAATTTTTTTTTTTGTAGAACTTGTTTTTTTTTTTCATTTTGTCTTTGTAGTTTAACGATTTCATCATTTTATGTCTCGTTTGTGTAAAATGTACGCTAAAATTTGCAAATAATGTTTTTAACCTATAATTTTTTATAATAACAATTACATAAATCAATTGATTTGTGGACGAAAGTGCTTGATGCATTTTTTTTTACCAAAATAACTATTCACTTATACAATATCAGATTACAATCAACTTAAGTATTTTGCTAGAAAATTTTTATTATTTTGTTAGTTAATTTTGTAAACTTTTATTTAATTTAATTTTATGAATTTTTAATTAATTTAATTTAATTATTTTTAATTTAATTTTTAATATTTCTTGTTTAATTGATTTTTTTTTAATTCATTAAATTTTAGTATTTTTTTTTAATTTGATTTTATTATTTGTTATTTTATTTAGTTTCATTATTTTTTTATTTGATTTAACTTCTTCTTTTTAATTTAATTTTATTATTTTTTATCTTTTTTTTTTGTTAATTACTCTATAAATAACACTAAATATATATGTAATTACAAATATATGCACTTGTTTGAATTTGATTATTCTTTACTTTTTTATTTTCTTTTTTAAATATAATTATTTTACTTTATGTATTTATATCTATATATTTAATTACATACTAAATACCTATTTACTTATACATTCAAAGCTCCTCGATTTTTTATTATACAGTTTTACTAAAAAATATTAAAGCAAATTTAATTAAAATACTAAAATCATCAATAGTAAATATTTATATATTAACAAATATTTGTATTTATAAACATAATAAAAATTTAAAAAATCTGTTAGTAAAATCGCGTTATATGTTTATAAGCGAAAAGAAATGTTGTAACAAACTTACAAAAAACGGTTAACTATTTACATTTGAAAAATACGCACAATAATTTTCGACGCTGATTCAAACTTGAGAAGTTGGAAATCAATTTTTCCAATCATCTAATGATAGAAATTTTTTGTTATAAAATTCGGTTGTCTATTCCATTCTACATCAGCACCATGACAAATTGTTGGAAAAAATTAAAATTAAAATTATTTAATTACTTTCAGTTTATTATGTTTTATTGTATTTTACCTTTTCAACTAATAAAATTTTATTTTTTTTTTTATGTTTTTATTTATTTATTTTTTAATTAATTTTGAGTTTGTATTTATTTTATTCATTTCCTTTATATTTGTTGATACTTTCTTTTTATTTTTCAATTTTATTTCAATAATTTTATTTACATTACTTTATTTCTTCTATTTCGGTTTATGTTAAGTTATTTTATTTTTTATTTTAATTTCTAATTTCTCTTATTCCTCATTTTATTAATTTATTTATTTTGTTCTTGAATATTCTTTTTATTACATTTTTTTAAATTTTATTTTGTTCAGTTAATATAATTTTTTATTTACGTTTTTTTTTTTTGTTATTTTACTTACGTATTTTATTTTTTTTTTAAATTTTATTAATTTTATTGTATTTCAATTTATTTATAGTATCTTATTTTGACTTGTATTAATCATTTTAACTTTATTTTTTCAATTGATTTTATCTTTATTTTATATTTTTTTTTTATTTATATTCAATTATTTTATTTTAGTTTAATTTTTATTTTATTTTTTTTTATTTTATTTTTTTTTTTATTTTATTTTATTTTTTTATTTTATTTTATTTTTTTATTTTATTTTTTTATTTTATTTTATTTTTTTTTTTTTTTTATTTTATTTTATTTTATTTTATTTTATTTTATTTTATTTTATTTTATTATATTTTATTTTATTTTATTTTATTTTATTTTATTTTATATTATTTTAATTTATTTTATTTAATTTTTAAGTTTTTCCCTCTTTCTCTTTTCATTTAATTTTAGTTTAATGCGCTTTATTTGTTAAGTGATTTCTAGTATAAATTAGAATTTATCGATGCCATGAAAAATTTATTTATTATGCGCGTCCGAAGCATTGAAATTAATAAAAAGAATAAAACGTTTGCTACTTATTTTATTGGTAGGTTTTCAAGTTTTCTTTTATATTTTTCCTTCAGCTCGTCACTTACTCAGTTATTTAATTGCTAGCTTAGTTATTTATTTATAGTTAGTTGGGCATTTAACGCAGTTTTGGTGAATCAAAATTCGTGGGGTGGCCACAGCTACCAAGCCCATTCACAACAGCTAGTTAGATTGACATGTTTTTTGTCATACGATTTCTGAATATTTCGCCATGTCATGTCAACTTTAGTTCAATCAATCAATTTGCAAATACAAACAAACAAATGCACAAGCTCACACACAACACTGGCACTGGCACTCACAAACACACACACTTATACAGTGGGATTTTATTTTATATTTATTTATTTAATTTTCTAATTCTTTTTTAATTTTCTACTCTACGTTTCAATGGCATTTTCCACACTTCTTTCCGAAAGTCTTTTACATATATATCTAGTCAATTACGAATTTATTTTTTTCTCTTTTGCGTTAGTCTTTTTTCATTCTCTTTTCATTTCTCTTTTCTTTTTTACTGCTTTCATTCTGTGCTGCCATTATTCGCGCAAACCATTCAATTGAAAGTTACGTTTATTTCTCATTTATTGTAAACTGCCGACGAGTTGTAGACTTCCGTTTCCGCTCTGCGAGCGCACTTCCCGTGTGTTCGCGTTCTCCACTCAATGGGATTGTCACCATAGTCATTGTCATTGTCAGTGTACTAAATTCGAGGCTCTGTGTGAGAGTGTCGTCTGTGTGTGTGTGTGTCGATGTGTGTGTTTGTGGACCGCGGATCAACACCTCAGTTCACTTCAGTTCATTTTAGTTCAGCGCCGCCAACAATTCAGCTTAGTACACAATATGAATGAGTTTCAATTGAAGTGTAAGTGTGTATGAAAGTGTAGGTGTGTATGTGTGATGTATATTTATTGTTAATATGTGTATTAGGGTTGCTGCGAAAGGGTTTATAAAAATCCGAGGTGAAAATCTGTTTTCTTATTTTTTTGGTTTTTTTTTCCTTTCTACAAAACTAAAGTCAAAAAAAGGTTCGAGTCTTCAAAGGCCCAGTGTTGTTAGTTTGGAATGTTAAGCAGTTGAGTAGGGTGCGAAAGCTTTTCAATTCGGTCTTACGGAAATCAAAGTGTAAAATATATTCCGGACATTCGAAGCCGAGGTCGGAAATCAATAGCGTCCCAATTATGTTTATGTGTATATGTGTGTGTTTATGAAGCTTTATGTGTGTGGTTTGGAATTTATATTACAAAACATGTATTGTATGTACTCGCATGCGTGTGTTTAATGATTACGACGCAAACGACGCCGATAACTCGAACGACGCGCCGGCAGCACTATCCGCTGTCGATGGTACTGTTGCTGCTGTTGCTGTTGCTGTAGCTTTTGTGGCGGTTGTGCGATATCGCCGAATGGTTGATATCATGTACGCTGCTGGTCGCGTTTATCTGTATCTGTATCCCTATCCGCATCTGTATCTGTGTCTGTGTTTGTATCTGTGTCAGTGTTGGTGTTGTGCGCTCCCGCTGAGCCTCCTTTTGCCTCCAAATGCTGCCTACTAATACTTTCGCCTTTAGTTAACGGTTTTACCCACACAAGTTTATCATCGTCGCCGCGTGTTTCCTCTTGCTCATCCTGTTGTGATGGATTGTTTTTACCATTGTTGTTGTTGTTGTTGGTATTTGTATTAGTATAAGTGTTGTCATCCTCATAGTCCATTACGGCTTGATTATTGGCGTTATCGTGACGATTTATATCATTGTTGTTTTTGTTGTTGTTATTGTTGCTTGTGCTTACATAACGTCGTTTCGGATTGTTGCTGTTGTTGTTATTGTTGTTACTATTTTTGTCATCCGCTTCCTGTGCGTTGTGAGGCTCCTTAGGTATTTGATGTTGTACCAGATGCAGCTCATTTCTGGCTTTATTTTCCCATAGTTGCTGGTTGGCCTTTACCTATTTGTTTTTTTTTTTGTTTTTTTTTTTTGTTGGTTTTGTAGTAGTACAAAAATGAATAAGAAAAATTTTGTATATTAAATGCTTAAATCAATAACAAATTTGAATAAAAGTGAGCAAAGTGTAAGCAAAAAATGATAGAGCCAAAGCCAGAAGTCATAAGTCAAAGAAAAATAAACACCGAAAATCAAAATACCGTTATTTTTTTAGAAAATATATGCGAAAAGATTAATGAGAAATTAGTTAAATGGATAGAGCATTTGGCATTATGCGTCAATAGAGCACCAACACCATTCAGGATGCACGAGTATGTATGTATATGTATGAAGGTATGTGCGTTCTAATTATGTATATGATTAAATACATTTAATGTATATTTAACTAACAAAACTAAAATTTGTTAAAAAGAGGCAAACACAGATTTTCAGATATGTATTTACTTCATCACTTTAGTAATCGGTGAGCGCGTTACCTTAGCAGCAGGCGACCCTAAAAATGGGGCGCAAAATTGAGGACTAAAATACATATGGAGAAGCAGCGAGTAACAAATTACCAAAGCACTAACGAGGTCTTTTTGACTTAGCAGTCTTCACAAAGATGGCAGGTGGCAAGTGTATATTTAACAAAGTTTATTTCTTAACTCGTCTTTCGCAAGCCAATCTAATTCGCAGGAAATTTCTTTAAGAACATAGTGTACATACAGCAACAACAACAACAAAATATGTTTGAAACTCAGAGCACCAAAAAACAGCAAAAACTAAAAATTCTGCCTTCGCAATACTTCAGAAATAAAAATAAAAATAAAAACAAAAAATAAAACAAAAATATAAAAGAAACAAAATATAAAAAAAAGAAAAAATAAAAATGAAAATAAAAACAGAAAGAAAAAAATAAAAATAAAAACAGAAAATAAAAATTAAACTAATAAATAAGATTTATCAAAAATAAAATTTTATTTAAAAATATAAAAATATAAAATAAGAAACAAAAAAATAATAAAATAAAATTTTAATAAAAAAATAGAAAATTAAAAAACATATAAAATTTATAAAAAAAAATAATAAAATAATAAAAAATATAATATATAAAAATAAATATAAATATATAAATATAAAAAAAATAAAAAAATAAAAAAAATTTAAAAAAAAGAATTATAAAAGGAAATATAAAAATATAAAAATCAAATAAAAAGAAATTATAAAAAGAGAACAAAGAGAAATAACAAATAAAATGGAATACAAAAAAATAAAAAAAAAAAATAAAAAAGGAAATGAAATTTAAAAACATTAAAAATAAACCAAATAAAATTGAAACAAATTATAAAAAACGAGAAGTGAACAAAATTAAAATAAAAATAAAATAGGTAAAATATATAAGTAAGTAAAATGGAAAAGTAAATAAAATAGAAAAATAAATAAAAAATATTTAACAAAACAAAACAAATCTTATATATAAAAACAAAAAAGAAGAGCGGTCTTCGGTCATAATGATAAAGGACGCTATCAATTTTATGTTATTTCATTTTAATATGAAATATTAATTCTTATATCTGAATCAATCGGTTGTATGGGGGCTATCCTACAGTTCCCTGATTTCAATGATTTTCGAGGACAATGATTTGTGTCATAACAAATTTTATGTTCTTTGATGCTTTGTTGACGGATTTTTGGCCCAAAGCCTCTCATCTGAACCAATCGATTGAATAGAAGCTATATCATATATATATCGTCCACCGATAAAGATATAGTTAGGAACGAAGCTGAAAAGAAGCTGAGGATGTTGACATATGGATTGGAATGACATTTTTTCAATGTTTTCGATATAAAACGCAAGGCGGGAAAATTCGTTCTAAAAGTGGTGAATTTCGTACAAAAACAGCGGCGAATGGAAGGGGTTGAGGAGCTACTCACTAAAATTTAAAGAGTGTGTGGCCGAGCATGAAAGTTATGCTCACTGTGCTCTTCGATTTTACGGACATAGTGCATAAAGAAATCTTACCAACAGGTCAAACCGCCAATAAGCAATACTACGTACAAATTTAAGACTGCTAACTGCGTGAAGCAATCTGAAAAAAGCCCCGAATTGTGGAAAATCATTGCATGCCTTTTGCCTCACGATAATGATCCGATCGCACTTCATTGATTGTTCGTGAGCGTTTTGTTTAAAATAATACTGTAATTATAACCCGGCCTCCATTCCCACCAGACGTGATTTTGTTTGATCTTATCCTTTTCTTAAAAACAGTCATAGATGAGTAACAAGAGTTTCACAGCTTAAAGAACTGAATATTTGTTTTATTGTCTTATTAATTTCTACAACGTCTCGAGAACGTCCACGTAGGCAGGCTGAATGAAGGCTTAAAAAAAAACTAACCAACCGGTCCTGAAGAAATTTTACACAAATCTTCGAGATGTAATTCACAGGGAACTGGACGAAGGATTCTAAAAACCTTATGGACCGAATTTCCATCTGCGAATCGTGTATCACTGATGTATCGTAACAAAATCAACCTATTTCAGAAGCGTATAGGGGCTGGTGATAAAAGTGCTACACTTAGAGCAAATCAAATGAAAACGAACTGAGTCGGAAGGGCAGTGAGCTGGTAGAGGCTTTCTCCAAGCCAGTACCCCCGCGGAGTAGACATGTGTCATAATTTGCGCCTAAAATCCAAAAGCTCCTGTGACAGGTGCGACAAGTATTTTTATCCTGCCCGGAACAACAACGGCTTTGGGGAAAATTTTTGCAGCTAAAACAACATCTCCAAGGAGTAACAGCCAGGAAGATTTTGGTTGCTCGTTTGGTGGGATAGGCAAGGTATCATCCCCTACGACCAAACTCTTATTTCCGACCTAATCTCAAAGCAATTGGAGCGCCTGAAGGAAATTACCGCCCAGAAGCACCCAGCTTTGGGCAACATGTGAGGAATTGTGTGTCAGCAGGGCAACGACAGGTAACGCAAGTAGGTCCTGACTCGCCAGAGGCTTCGAGAGCTCGGTTGGAAGGTTCTTATATATACACCAGATATTTTTGAACTCTGCAACCAGTGATTTGGTTGGTGAAGAATTGATCTCCAGAGAAGCCTGCGCAAATCGAATGTCTCAAGTTTTGCCAACTGGGATAAGAGTTTTTATGATGAAAGGGAAAATAAATCGCAAATTTAGATTTTCGTCAATATGTATGAGCATGTGTTCGATAAAATTCTATTTACAATGAGTGTGTATGTTTGTCAGCATAAAATCATTTTATGTCTGCGTCAAAAATTCGATTAACTGAAGAATTCCACTAAACGAAAGCATCCACAGCAGCTGGAATTGCAAAAATAATACGTGAATTAAATATGGAAATGGGGAAGAGTGCGAATGAATTTAGGGCGCGACTGAAAGAGCGAGTATGTATGTATGTGTGAATATGTGTGAGTGTGGTTGTGGATAGAGTAGTTAATGCATTAAATATTATCTACAGGATATTGAAGCAGCGCGATTTATAATAAATAAAGTTTATTGAAAGAGATAGAGGCAATACATGCACAAGCACATACACAGAAACACACATACATACATATATTCAAAGAGATTTTGAAATGAATTTTTTGTAAGTGTATATGTATGTCGTTTGTATGTATGTACATATGTGCCAGAAGTTGTTATTCTTACTAGATGTTTGGCTTTGAGGAAGTACTACCTAGTTTTGTATTTATTAGTATGTGTACGGTGTTGTTGTTGTAAGAGCAGTAACAAATTACAGTTATTCAGTGTATTCATATTCATATTTAATTAACTGGAAATAAACCAAGTAAAAATAAAAATAAAAATAAAAACAAAAATAAACAAATTAAATAAAGTAAACTCAAATAATCAATTTGTGTGAGATCAGAGTAAATAAATCAACGAATTAACGATTTTGTGTGTCATTTTCGTTTTCGTAATCACGAATCACAGCAATACAATATGTTTGTATGTATTTGTGTATGTAGCGACAAATAGACGAATGACGCTGTCGCTCAACTCAAACGTGCTGAGCTCTCGCGCCGGCGAACTTGACAAGCAAGTGGCAGCCAGGACGGCAAGGATACGACATTGAAATGAACCTCATTTTTTTTTTTTTTTATTCTCACATTTCGCTGCTCTTTCGTTTCGTTGCTATGAACACAATGATGATGATGGTTTGGGTTTGGCGGGGAGGTTGAACTAAGTGTTTCAATATGCGTAAAATGAGTACTACAAAAAGGATGAAATCGATTCCTTCGAACAAACAACAAATCAATACAATTCGATAATGGAACACAGAGCAAAAGACACAAAATAACAACAAACTAAACACACACACAAAAAGTGACTGCGAGAAATTTTGACTAAAGGATTGTAGCGCACATACCTTAAACGTATTATCCTGTACCCATGCATCTGGCTTACCATAATCCGGTGGATTCGCATATGGATCATAACCGAGCACCGATAACATGGGCGCTATGTCGGCCATATCGCGTACCACATTTTCTGGAATATTACCAACCCATTTGGAGAGTGCTTCTAAATTCACCGGCTTGATGACCTGATCCGAGGAGCGTTCCACTCTGCAAGAGATTTGTGGGAAATTTTAATAAAAATTGTCTAAATTTTAAGAAAAAAAAAAGATTCACAAAAACATAAAAGAATTAAGGGGCAGAAATAAAAGGCCAAGAATTTCGCTTTATTAGAAAAATAAGGTTTTGCCATTACTTTATCAGAACGACTTTCGGCGAGTTTAAACTCCAGCTGAAAGAACCAATTTAAGCTCACTTTTAGCAGCAATTGGTTCTGTATGCCAGCAATAAAGCGTCGGATATTCTCTTCCAAGGCTTCAATCGTGTTGAGCTTATCTGTGTAGACAAGCGACTTCACATAAGCCCACAAAAAAATGGCTCAGCGGGATGAAATCATACGATCTTGGTGGCTGCACCGCAGGAGGTAATCCGCTCACCAAAAGTTTGCTTCAATAAATGGTTTGTTTCGTCGGTTGTATGGCGTGTTGCGTCCTCTTGTTGGAACCCAAGGTTGACCACATATAAACATACTCCAATTCAGATACGTCAGATCAGATTCAGATAGTCATCAATCTTGGCTCAAAATCGTTCCTTATTGATTGTAACATTATGACCGGTTTCAGTTATGAAGCAATATCTTCTATAAATTAGATGAGAATAGCTCCAATTGTTTCGCGCCATGGTGGATGGGCTCATTCGTTTACATGTGATTTTTATGTGCTTCAAAACCGGCAATCTGCTATTAACTTAGTCGTTGTAGTCTTCATAGAAAAATATAATTTTTCGGTAAAAAAAAAACCCATTTTCTGCCAATCGATCTTCAGCCCATTAGGTCCAGCAAAGTTGCACCGGATGGTCACGAGACTTTAGTTATTGAATTAAAAGGAATTTGAAACCTTTATAACGAGGTCTTTTCGTCTTGCGAACGTTGTCGAGTTGATGTTGATGGCTGTTCGAGCACACATATTTTACTCTGAACGTCCTTAACAGTCACTTTATCGAAATGTTTTGTCCGTCAACGAACCAGTTTAGCGAACTCGCTTCGGTCCATAGATTCTTCTTCTTTTTCTAGATACCGAAACCACTTGGTTTGCCACTTGGTGGCGCTATATCTTCAAGGCAGTTAAAGTAGAAATGAACTGGAAACGATGTAGTTTTCTAAGAGAGACTTCATCAATTTCAACTAAGTGTGATACTTGTTCCATTTCTCGGAGTGCATTTATGCCAATCTCGGGTAGAGTGGAGTTGAGTTAATGCATTGTGATACCGCTGAGGCTCCTGCCTTCACTTTCTCAAATGATCGAACCATTTCGTGTGCCTTATAAAGGCAACGAGATTTCCAATATTCACTGCGAACAATTCAGCGAGACAGTCGAAGAAGTGTTTCCCAAGGAACTTGTGCCGCGCAGATGTCAAGGCTGGACAGTGGCAGAGCTAGTGCTCGATGGTTTGCTCCTCTTCTTCGTACCTGCAGCTGCGGCAAAAATCATTAGCGTAAAAGCCTATCCTAATCCCGTTATGCCCCATTAACAGTGGCCAGTTATTATACCAGTCGTCATGTTAATGGAGAACCGGATAAGATGTTTAGATTTTTTGCGTCCAACTCACACTTGATTGCGTTAAACCATCGTGAGTCAGCTTCCCTGGTGAAGGCCAGTTTAAGCATGTACTTAGCCGTGGACAGAGGTAAACCAGCATCGTGTCTGTGTTTTATCGTATATAAGAAGGCTCCTTCCCTTGCCAGGTTGGTCTGCCATGCAATTGCCTGGGATGTTCCTATATCCAGGTACCCACTATAGTACTGTACTTCATTCAGAGTTTGCTGAGAATGTTTCTACAGTTTATGGCCACTTTTGACGTGGCACCGTTACATTGAAGAGATCTGATTGCAGCCTGACTATCGGAGTAAATTGTAACCTGCTGCCGTAAATTTGTGCAACCACTCCGCGGGCTCTATGATTGCGAAGAGTTCCGCCTGGAAAACGCTGCAATGATCCGGTATACTCATGCTCATGCTTACTAAGAGCACGGGAGCGCAAATTCCGCAACCCACTTCCTCCCATTAAGCTTCGAGCAGTCTGTGAAATTGACTATTGTTCCCTGATCGGGGGCGTTGGTGGTTTCCCACTCGCATTTTTTTTTGGGATGGAGAAAAGGTTATCGAAGCAAACACTGGAGGAGGTGTAGTCCAACCCTTTCGGCACTTCTGTACTGCAATTCTTCCAAAGTTGAGTTGCATTCAATCTTATTGCATTGCAATTCGCTTGTAGATTCCTGCATAGGTTCAGCGCAATGAGGTTGAAAAGAGTTAGCAGTGCTTTCGAGGGAATTGGTGGCAATGCTTCCGTTATCAGGATGAACGGCGATCGTTGAACTGTGTCTAATTTGCTCCTGAAGGTGATTTTAGCGAGTGCCGGCCACCAGACGGAGACGCCGTAGAATAGAATGGGTCTAGCTACCGATGTGTTTATCCAATTGCGCGATACTCGGTCTTACACTCCATCTCTTTCCTATCGCCGTTTTGCAGGCAACACGATCTCGGGTAAGAAACTATTATAAATTTCCAAGATATCTCTTAGTGCATACTCTTTTATGGCGAAATTCTTAAAAGTGGTAGTGCAAAAAGCAAACGGTAGATGGCCCACCCAGTAAAAGCTTTCAACAATTTGCAAATTTTATGACTTGCACAACTTACTTTGAGAGTGGCACGCCATTTGGTTTATTGATGAATTCTTCATGATGCAACACCGCATCGTTCCATGGTACATCCAAGAACTTCAATATTTTTCGCATCCACTCCTCGGGATGCAAAACCAATTGCTCGTAGTAAACCTAAAAAAATGAGGAAAATGTTGTAAAAAGATAAAACAAGAGAAAAAAACAGTTAATGAAATGCAGATTATCGACACGTGCAGCAATGCAAACATGAAAAAACAACAAAGAGAGAGAGAAAAAGCGACAAAAAAGCGCTGATTTGAATTTTAATTCAATTAAACGCGCAAATGATATGTGAAAAATACGCTCTTTTCCGCCGAAGGACAGATGCGCGCTTTCAAATGACAAATGCGGTTTATTTATTTCGAATTTTCGCGCATTCACACAGCGACTGACTAAACTATTAAGTCATCAATCAAATGGGGAAAGCGCGAATGTGAAAATTAAAATGTGAAAAATCAAAAAAAAAAAAAAAAAACCAGTGCACGAAGTGACGATTGCAAAGCGCAAATAACGGTGAGTTTTAGCATTTTTTATTTCATACATTCAACGCCACTTTTTATCAAGTTGATTTTATTTGCAATTTTGAATTGCTTCTCTAGCATCCTCTCGCATGCTCGCTGACGGTTATATGTATTTGTCAATATGCTACATGTTTCAATCAATCAATGACTATTGCGCGCTCGTTTAGGACCACAAACGCCCTCACCAACGGCGGCAGCATCATCATCATCATCATCATCATCATCATCATCATCATCATCATCAGGCTCACCAACCACCTCTTCCTGCAGCTTGCAATTACATATATACGTACCAACAAGCAAGCCTTTTTTTTTTGTTTCTCTCCCTACATACATACATACAAACATATGTGTAGGTACATAGGTACAAGCATATGCTTGAACACTCACCATCATGCAACGCTCCTTGCCGATCTCCTTGCATTGGTTGTGCATCACTTCAATGGCAAAGTTCCACTTCCGCATACACTGCCGGTAGCTGGTCAAATCGAAGCCGGTTATCGTCACATGGCGCGAGATGATTGAATGCACTGTGGCGCGCCCATCTCTTACCATAAACAGGAATTTCGCCTAAAAGACAAATATTGTTGTTGACGGTGTTGTTGTTGTTGTTGTTGTTGTTGTTGTTGCCGAGTTGTGTCGACAAAATGGTTGAAGGTTTTACGGCGAAATGAAGAACATGAAAAAAAGAAAAAGAAAAAGAAAAGAAAAAAAAATTGAAAAAACATACAGTTAAGAGACATGTCAAGTACACCACAACATACATACATACATACGTATGTTTGTATGTATTTATACTCATAAGATAATTACATTTGGAAACAGTTCTATCACGTAGGAGCCCATCTTCAACGTCAACGGATCCTTATTGCACAGCCTTGGCGCTGGCTCGCCATGCTTAGCGATGATTTCTAAACAAAATTGCGCTATTGCACCGTTCATCACCTCCTTGGTGATGCCCGCCTCCAATAGTCGCATCGATTCCTTCTCCGATTTCATCCAATGTGAACGTAATTGCAGTATACGTGGTATGACACGTGTCTCCTGGCCACATCTTCATATAGTATTTTTCAATTGGTTTGATTAGGAATGTTTGTATGCGTGTGTGTGTGTGTGTGTGTGGGTGTGAGTGGGCATCGGTAGTTGGATATCGTTGTTTGTGGGCGTTGGAAAGACACGTAGCATGAAATGAAAGAAGAAACGGAAGAAATTGTGATTAGTTTTATATACGAATATATTTAGTGTACTTCCGCTGCCAATGAGGGCGTTAAGGTGTTGGGCGTAACGTGAGGTAGAAAATAAATAAATAAATATACAGTGCAATGGAGATATCATAAGGTCACTACGAGAAATATGCGAGATTTTCATTAAGGTTGACTTAACTGCCACTCGTAGCATGAACTGTCTCAGCAGGAATGGGCGGGAATGGATCGATGCTTCAAAAATATATATTCCAATGTGAGTAATATGGTACAAATATTCAGGATTTCATATGGATAAGGCTGATTTTAATTGCTTCGAGGCTAATCAATCACTGCTGTGTACCAAAAAACGTCCATCAACAAACACAAAGAAGGTTCAACATCGAAAAGCTGCAATCACAACAGACAGACGAACGGCTCTCTATTCGACTTGCACACCTGCTCTCTGAGAGCGCTCATCAGCAACTCGCTATTAGCGAATTTTGGGACGAAATTTCATAGAACGTTTTCGAAAAAATATCGCAAAATTAGCTGGTACAATGTTTGAATATTGCGGTGCCGCAGTGGAGAGAGATTCAGGCTGCCTACCTGGCAACGTGGACATCTATCAATAGACGTGCGGGATGACATAAATACCGAAAATTGAAGAAGAAAGCAAGACGCATATGCAGACAAAAAAATAAAGAGAGCTTGAGAAGCTGGCCGACAAAAGTAATACTAAAAGATACGGTGACTCAAACAAGGTTTTAATACCGAGGCAAATTTTTGTAAGTCCCAGAGAGGTGATAAAGAAGCTAATATCCAGAGTATACTGAATTGAATGATTGAACACATCTACCAGCCCGCTGAATGGCAATGAATATGGAATAGCAGCATATTGTGAACATGATTTTTCAGTCGATGACCTTGGAACAGATGTTTCATTGCCCGACTATGAGGGAGTTTTTGCAACAATCGCCAGATACGGCGGCCAAAAACTTAGAAGTTGCATGCCACAGCTTCTTTGTCGGATGAAAGTTTGCCCGACGATGGGAACTTAAGTCTACACTGCTCAATCTATAAGAAGTAGGGCGGACCCCACGGTCACCACCAATTACTGTGGGTCTCAGAAAGCGTAATGTTTATTGTGTCACTGGCAGCTAAATCTATGGATGTGGAAGAAATTCGAAGATTAATTTTTAGTCTTGACATCCGTTTCTTTGAAATTTCGCCTCAAAACACTTCACTGTTGATGATTTTTTCTTCTCAAAAACATCCCAAAATACCGACTGCAACAGTTGACTCAGATAATGATTATTTAGGTTTCGGAGTGAAGGGAAAAATGGTTCCTTTTCCACAATTATTCTTTTTCTAAAAATTCTAATATTTCATGCAAACCTTTTACTGTCTGAAATTTCCAACGGAAAATTTGCTCAACATTTGTTTTTGAAAAGTTCAATGCGTCGTAGATTGTTTCTTGAAGACCTGTGTAAATTTTCATCAAGTTTGGTTGGGTAGTTTTCGAGAACTTTTCAAATCGACACTTCCTAGCAAAACTTTTTTAAGGTCCAAAGCGCTGAGCCTCTTACCTCTGAGTGCACACTTTCCCAAGGCTATACTTCCGAGTCTTTCATTCGGATCAAATTGAAATTTGGGAATAATACTCTCGAGATATTGTAGATATTGATAATAACGAAATAGATTTATTGAAGCCGAGAACCCCATGTAATCATGGAACTACTATATGGTAATATATATATATATATATAATATATACTATAAGTTCGATAATTAATTAGGTTTTATAGTCAATTTTCGAAATGCTGTCCGATACACTTTTCCCCCGGGCCCGATAAGCTCTTAATATTCTTGTTAACACACTTCACTGCTTTGCAATAGAACCACTTGATGCTCTCAAAGAAACTACTCATATCCGATATGCTTTTCGCTAAGTTTTAACGACTCCTTAAGGAAGTCATATTTATTAGGTTAGAAGTCAAATCTGCCTCGTTATCTTACAGTCAGATAAGGATTTTCTTTTGTTCAAATTATAAGTGAAACTCTCTTATGATAGCTTGGTATTATAACGCCGCTTCGGATGTGTTTCCAACTCGGCAAGATGAATTGTGGAGTTGTCAAGTTAACCTGCTAGCGACCTTAAGACTTTCCGATAGTTGTTGCCAAGGCTGGTATTTCATATTTCGGTAGATTACACCTTTAAAAATAACATATTAAAATTTCAAATCGATATCTCAAATAGTTTTTGAGTTATAGCAATTTAAAGAGCAGCCGCTCGGCAGCTAGAGAGTCTCATTAGCTACGAGTGAAAACGATCATTTTATCTTTTAACGCGTTTTTCTCTAAACAGCATTTTCCGAATTCGCTGCAGTGATTACTCAAAAACAAATGATCCGATCACTATCGATTTTTTTTTACATGTTCTATATATAGCTCTCCGTACAATGACCTATAGATTTTTGATCTGATCAAAAAATCGAATTTTGGCAGGCCAAAAACGACCAAAATTATGGGTAAAATTCGACTATTTTTTTTAAAACGCCGCCATGTTGTCACTTTTTGATGTTTTTTATCGTAGGTCATTGTACAGACAATATTATCTAGTAGAGAATTTTTTTTTTGAGATTTCATCCACGGAGAAGGCCGGAATCACTGCAGCAGTGAAGGACCTTTTTTCGCGCCGTTGGGTATCGACTATAACCGAAAAAATATTTAATTTTTTTCTTCAAAAATTTCACTGTATATTCTTAAAATTTTGAAATAATTGATAAAGTTTTTTTTTCAATAAAAATTCCCAAAAATCCCCTTTTTTTAGGCCATTACACTAGGTGTGGCCCTTAAGGCCAGCAAATGCACTTGACTATCCGCGTACGCGGTGGTTTTCGGTATTCCCAAGCAGTTATTCTTTTAAGCCTTACAAGACAAATCATTTGCGAAATCAGATTGTGAATAATTGGGCGCTTGATTGAATTTACAGTCAACCTACCTTTGCAGACCTTTAAAGCCTGTAGTGAAAATTCTGCAATCTCAAAAGAAAACTCTTATAATTTTTAATACAAATTTATTTTTTTTTTCTTCACCCTTTGCGTTCATTTTCCTTGATTTGTTGAAAGCAGCATTTAACTTACAACCTCTTTGATAACTAACATTCTACACCTGTTACCGCAACCAACGTGTAGAAGCGGCCGCTACTCTGCAAAAGAGAAAAGATCAAAGCCTCAGGAGAGCAATTGAAACTTCTGATTTGATGTGTTACGTTTGAGCAATTTGTGGCAATAAAAAAGGCGCATAGAAAAGAAATGTGACACAAAGATGACTTGGAAAATATTGCGCAATCAAATTAAGTGTATTTTAGTTTGATTGCCGATTTCGGTTTCGATATAAATTTGATGGTAAAAAATGACAACACATTTGCTACCAACAACTCATAAGATAAAAGAAAAATAAATTGATGATTTATTCTGAGCATATCCGGATTCATATTACCCATTTTTATAGCAGTGCCATAAGGATTTTGTGTAAGTTTTGGTCATAAAAATGGCTCAAAAGGGAGAGCAGCTGAGACCTGAGCAGTCAAGCAAGGCACTGTTGATGCACTGAGAAAGTACAAGCTTTAAGTTTCTTATGATTAAACTATAGATGACAGATGTTGTCAGAAGAGATGGCTGTATGATTCGCTGTTTCATCTGTGAGGGGATATACAAAAGTAGTGGGACAAGGTGTGACAGTAAATGATGTACTAAGAAGAGTCCCACAAATATATAATTAGCGCTTTGCACCAGCTTAAGCAATCTTGGCCGTGCTCCTCGTTAAACTTATTTGTTAGCGCCTTGATGTTTTACCAGCAGATGGAGGGATCTACAATTTATTCTGTGTAGCGGCTTGCTGCACTCTATACAACCGAAACGCTAGGAACCATCCCACCAACCGACACTGCAGTAAAAAACCAAATGTAGCAAAATGAAGTATATGACAGATCTGAAAGATATGGATCAGTGTGAAATGAATGCCGTAATGGCTTTCAAGATCGTCCAGATCAGAGGGAATGACAGGGTTGGAAGTAAGCGTAGCATGGATGTGGGCTTAATGACAGGCCACAACCTACTAGCAACACTAATCAAGCAAAATAGGTATTGGTACATTACAGTTACTAACCCGTATATAAGAAAAATACGAAGACACACATAAATGAGACGTTGGAAAATGCGCTCTGTATCTGTTCGGCTTTACTAGAACCCGACTCGTACACATTTGGAATATTCGCTTTTTAGAGAGCTAAAGAAAGTTTCAAACCTGGACAAGTATTGATGTCCTCTCCAAGGCGATTTTTTGACATTCTTCAGTTCATGAAAACCAGTCCGAAAGCTATCTGTAAATACATCCGATCTAGAAAAGAAATTCTAATATTTCAAAATTAATAAATTTAAAGGAAATCAATGAAGGAATAGTAAAAAATATTCACGAATATTTCCTCCACTAAATGAATAAATACCTGAAAAAATTGTTCCATGTTGTCTATAAGCATATAAATATAAAGTATAAGCAGCTCTAAAAAAAGAACACTCACTTCCGAGACTTTATTTGAGTCTGATCTGATCTCTCCAATAGAACAGCGTTTGCTGATTGTAGTGCGTACTAACATTCGGCCAGGTATTGAGTTCTGGTTTGGCCAACTTAAAAAACTGCTGTCGGCAGGCAGGGAATACCAACCCCTGCGAGCTCATTTCTGGCATGAAATAAAATGCTACTCTTAAAAATCTATCGTTCATTCGAAAGCGAGTTGTGGGAAAAGCATTAACACCATAAGTTGGAGGTAGAGCTTGGCCGAAAACCCCTTCAGTTGCTATAAAACGGC